CAGGGGCGTAACAAACGGGTTTTCAATGTGTAAGCCCAACGATGAAGTGTGCTGCCGAAGGCAGCACCCCGAAGCGCGTAGCGCGAGGAGGGGGAGGGTATGGGAGGGGGTTTTCCGCCTCCCATTGGTGGGGGTCTTGGGGGTCTCCCCCAGGAGAATTTTGTTTTCTAGAACACATGAGACGCGTTCTCCCTTGTTCTGGCGTCAGTTTTAATGGCCATTTTAAAGCAAGAAAATATCATTTTCCCCTATTATTTTACAAATATTTTGCTTCTTTTTGGGTACGAAGGGATTGGTACTCATCTACGCCAGTTCTATTATGGTGTTCGGTAACATTATTCCACGGAAAAGAAAAATCTAAAATTATGTGGATTTTGGGATACTTGTTGTAAGAGTGTGACGTTTCTCCTCGCGACTGTGACTCCGGTTGCGCAGAGATATGAGACTTGTATCACAAGCTAGCACTAGGAATAGTTTAACGTTATGTACATAAGAACCGATATACTGGTTACCATGCCGAACGAATATGCTACCCTCAGTGCTACATTTGTTAGAGACTTTGATTGCAACGAAGCATTTTAGTTGGCGGTCTTTATAGCAGATACAAAACATCTGTCATTGCTTTTTAATATTTTATATCATATAGTCTATGTTGCGTTTATTTTATTTTTATTTTGTCAAAAATGATGTGTAAGCCCGGGCTTTTTTGCTACATAGGTTGTTACGCGCCTGAATTTATTATCAACATAACCGCTACTAGTGTAGTTCGTTGTTCCATAAAACACAGTTTAATCGGATCTATTATATTTAAATGTGCTTCGTCAAAGAGTCCCCTTTTAAACTGAAAATGTCCTGACAATACCGTTTTTTTCCGACTGATAAAAGGCCTCCGCCCGAATGTACAATCTACAACGTACAGAAGCGGAAGCAAAATACAATGTCGAGCAGAATCCATGCAGATGTTGTTTTTATAAATTATTGACAAACATTTCTTTCGAAACAAAGTCCGATGACGAGTGCATTAAATGATGAGCCTTTTAAGCAGTTGTTTGCAATGCTCTTGTGGAACCAATGGACTGTATTATCACCTTAGTATCAATATTTTCAACGACAAAAAGCTTTTAATAAACACCATGCTAGATCACCAAGTAAACGGATACCTGTTCGTTTTATGCAATATTTGTATAACTTAACACGTCCATAAAAGATGTCAAATATCCTTTTATTTGAATCAACATCATCAAGGCCTTTATGAAGTATCTGGAATCATGATGCGTTTCTGTAAACAATGAGACAACAGGTATAATTGAATGTAATGGAAATGTATGCTCTGAAATTTCCTTTTTTCTAAAACGCAATTTTTTTGCTATCTGCTTTACAAAAAAAGTTAAACAATTACAAGTCTCCGATTCTGAGTTTTTTAATGGTTTCTCGTATTTTTGAAAATGAATTTTTGTCCGTATTATCTTCAGAAGTAGAGTTTCAGCCTTTAACATCATCCACAATGCAAACGTAAGTATAGTTTACAGCAGGTGTAAGTAAGTAATTTGGTTTATTAGCAAATGACTCATAGGGTGAGTAAAGAGATGATTTCCAGAAGAAAATAAACTGTTCAAAGAAGGGCGTTTTTTCCGTCATCAAAAAAGTTAATCTGACACTTAACCCATAAAAAACGTTGCCTAAATGTGGATATAATGCTTAATATACTAGCGGGAAAAAAAGAAACTGTGCGTACATAAAAAATTAAAATATCCAATTTTTTCTTTTTTTTTTTACATGAAACTTTATACAAATATCATGCACTAACTCTTTAACAACCTTCAAGCGTGAATGTGCTTTTTTTCATGTTCGTTCTTTTGTACGTCCCCAATTTCGTATTTTCGGTGATGTAGCTAGTCAGTGTGAGAACCTTTACCGACTTTGTTACTGTTGTGTAAATCTTTACATCCAACGCAAACCGGAAAAAAATCTGGTAAACGTTTTTGGTAAGATTTCCCTAGACCGAGTAAAAATGTCCGCAAACAAGCGGTTGAAATGAAGCACGCTGATGTCGCCTAGAAATGCTGTTGCTTTAGGCTTTGTTGTGCATCGGAACACTATTCATAACTATGAAGACGTTTCCAACAGTCTGGTTATACTAGGAACCGCCCCAGATCAGGACGTCCGCGTGTGATATTATTACGTCAGGACAATTACATCCAGGTTGCAAATTTGTATAACCGCTTCCAAACTGCAGCTTTGACGGGCAAGAATCAATCCTGAACTACAGAGAATTTGTCTGAGAAACTGCCTGCTTGAACGAATCGTTTGTCCTGCGTCGATGGCATCGTGTTACAAATCTTGCATGGTGCAGTAGAAATTTCCGCTTTGTTAGACGGGATTGAAAGCTTATTCAGACGACGAGTCTCAAACCCACTAGATCAGTAGTGACGGCCGCTCAATAGTGTAACGTCGCAATGTCCGGACAGTTGTGTCGTGGAACGTCATTCCCTTGTTGGAGGTTGTGTGATGGTCTGGGGCGGCATAACGAATACCAGACCATACCAGCCCAACCACCTCTGTTGGACATTGACAGAAAGGATTTGGCGTGCATGCTACAACAAAAAGATTCTGTAAATCTCAAGTCATACCGCTCGTGCAACAATCACGCTACGCTGCAACGTTGTGAGATTTCCTGACGCAGCAGAATGTGGATGCGTTGCCATGGCCCGTAGAATCACATGACCTTCCGCCAAGGTATGCCCATCGAGATGCAACGTCGTCTATGACAACTGCCAAATCATTCTGTGACATTGGTTACGCTTCCTCGTGCGTTAGTTCGAATCTGGAAAGGCATTTCACGATCTGTTTTGGCTGCTTGATCTGTTGTCATCCTAGTATTTACTCTGCATTCATCATTTCTATTGTTAGACCATGCATGCTTTTCTGTAGCTATTGTTTGTCGTGTCCACAATCCCTGTTGCCAGTCTTGTTCCCAACAATTTCGTTGCCCGCCATTCTTTTTGTCTGTTGTCCAACAATCTCTTTGTCTGATCACTGTCATCAATTTTAATCGTGCATACGTTGTCACGTATCACATCATCGTCCTTTTCTAATGGTCCAGTTTGTAACATGTAGAACATGAGGAGCAGGTGGAAACATACTCGTTGATCAACACCGAAGGACTGCAACAGCGTGAAGTACATTGATACTGATGAAAGTATATGTCTAGTCGTATTGTTTGCCATCTTTGGGATACCCACAGAGGTATATATCTATGATTGTGGTACTTTCCCAATCATATCTTGTTCCTCGTTTGTTTTCCTTTTTTTCCTTTCATTATTGTGTTTCGTTCACGGGATTTGTTTCTTGGGTTTACTTTGATATTTATCGTAACGTCATTTATCAATGATATAAGGTACTAAACCATTTTTATAATCTCTACCTTCGTTATTCCAGAGCATTTTCTAAATAAAAGGATGTTCCGACCATCCGGTCCTATTGACCACTGAACTAGATTACAATCCATGCTGAAGAAATCTTACGCCATCATTGACGGGATTCCAACTAGGACATTTCTGTCTACTGTATATCAGATCTTTGAACTACATGTGTTCTTTTAGGACAGTGATTCCTTACTCTGCTGGAGGACTATCAGTCCTCGAGGTTGGTCGTGTCCTTGTAGCGATAATTAATCTTGCACGGTTTAAATGAATTACTAGATTAAGAATTATCTATATAAAACAAAAGTTGTGAAGGTATAACGTTAAAAAGGATTTAATAAGCACCTTCCCAATTTAGCTGTGTTCTACGTATGTTTCAGAGCCCTTCCGACATGGTTTTCCATTCTTTAGACATTTAGTATCACTGACACGTCCTAAAGGACGAAAATGGCCATTCGATCCAGTAAAATAATACTTTGTATGGCTTTCTGCACCGACAATTAATTTTTTAAAAAGGCTTCATTATACCTTATTTCTAGTAGTTTTAATTCTTGGATTTGATGGGAGACAAGACTGGTGCCGCATATCTAACAAGAATTACTGTATATCTTTCTGGACCAACCTGGGTTTTTTTCATCCACTTGTTGAGGTCGATCATGTATGCCTTGAGTTTCGATGTCTCCTTGCGAGGGTCATAGTGTCTCTATTCCGTTTACATGTCTACTTGCAATAAATTCTTTTTTAAGTCATAGAGGCTGATAATGTCTTCCTTGTAGTCTCATTTCGATCACTTCTTGTTATTGTCACTGCATTTCATCATGCCTCTCTTTCCTGTTGCTGTCTCCTTGCCATAATTTTTGTTACTTTCAGTGAGGTTCATATTGTCTCTATTTTGTTTTGGTTATTGTAAAATAGGGTGAAAATATTATTTTCGTTTTGATGTCTTGCAATCATTTTATGTAGCCCGAGTTTCATCTGGCCCTGACACCAGACTTATGACATTTCGACAGATAGATGTCTGAAATGTATCTGTCAAAATGTCTAAGTCTGGTGTCAGGGCCAGAGGAAACTCAGGCTACATTTCATGTAAATGTTTACAGGTTCATGTATTACTTTCATTCTGAACAATTCTTGTTTTTTTGTAATTTCGTGTCTTTTTTTATTTCTTAATTTGTCCTTTTGTGTTTATGCTATGGAATGTTTATCAACATCTAATTTGAAGTCACAGCGAGTAACGCCACCATAATTAAACAAAATAGTGTATCGAATTGCACTTTTTATTTTCTCTTTACATGTCTAGAAAATATATGACATAAGTATCTAAAACCCATACCCTTCTTTTTAACACTTCCATGGTGGCCTGCTTTGTAAGCTGCCCTTACATGTCAATCCTTCAGGTGAATTTGAGATCAGATACCTGTTTAGGACTCCTAAATGAGATCCCTTATGAAGTTTTAATTTGATAACCACTGGATGTTCACGATTTAAGAGTGGATAACGGTCAAAACAGAGGTAGCCATGTATACCACAACCTTCATTTTGTGTCCAAAGCATCTTGTTTTGTCAAAACCATGTCCATCATACAAAGGAACATAATGATAAATTAAGATCTCTGGATCCATGTTGGAAAGTTACAACATCTGTAAGAGGACAGATCAGTCCATTCAATTAAGATTCCTAGTTTAATTGTTACAATGTCAATGATGATGGTCATTCTCCCCCATTTTCAGAAATATCCTCTTTCACATCTATCACTTCGTCTTTAACATTGATGTCCATTTTATTATCTGCGCAGTCCTTTGTGTTTCCTGTGGCTTTGTTCTCCTCCTGATCACTACAATCCTCTGGATCACTGGGAGCATCAAACTCCTTCAAATCGCTAATCACAGATTCTGCCATTTTCCGACGTTCTCGCTCTTCTGCATGTTCTTTGACTGTGAAAGTGACAAAAAACACTCTGAGGAATGGATATTCTTTCAAAAAATTCTTTTTTATGCAACCTATAAAAATTATTTAATTTAACTAAAATTATTCTTAATACTATATTTTGATGACTGAAATCTATTGCTTATATGTAACCTAGCTACTGCATATACAAACTAGAAAACGTTTGTAAAACATTAATGACTCTTTGCACCTAAAGTTGGTAAATTGATGAAAATGATTCTGTTGAAAAAATACCAAAAGTGCACCTACATATAGCAACAGCGACCTTCGCAATGACTTCAAGACCCTGAATAACGAAGTCACTTAAGAATCTCATACTTGACCTTTGTATTAACTTTACTGAAAATCTGTTAAGATATATATTTGGTAGAGTATAGCTGTGACAAAGAATCGTAAGGCGACGGGGCCTGGAATAGGATGGATACAGGTAAAACTATTTCTCCCCATCACTACGGGGGAAGGAGGGGTATAGAAACAATTTTTTAACTGAGTCGTTTTTAAATAGTTACCTAGGTCCTCCAGCTCCAGTCCAAATAGACGGAGATAGTGAGTCCGCTCATGCTTGCCAACAAATGGCCGTGTAGATGTCTTTCCTTTCCATCCACACACAATTATATCACAGGCTGGTGCAGCATCACTGTAACAGATCAGAGGTCAACACTACAGCTACTACTTCATAATACTGTAAGTATGATCCCCATTTTAGTGCAATTTTATACAACTATATATGTATTTTATTGACCAGATCTTGGGTAAAGTGGTTACAGTGAAAGTGAATATTGTTCTTGATTTAAATAGGTTTAGATACTAACTCTTCTTTATTGAAAAGCTCATTTATTTTTAATTCATAGGAATTCATAATACCTGTTAGTTGGGCAGTACTTGAAGACAGAACTTCCTGGGCCTGAAATGGAAGAGGAGACCATATGGTAAAGGTAAAGACGGTCACAAACACAGAAAGTAAATGTAAGCCGAGATAGAAATATTATTTTGCTCCTCCTTTCAGTGTATATTATGTTTCTACTATACATATTTATCAGTTTCCTTTGTTAATGAAATATTAGTCTCATCCCCTGCAGCTTTGGGGTTAAAAAAAGAATAGACAGGCTGTTTACAGCTGCAAGTCCGCATGAGACAACTAATATTGCAGAATTATAGAGGTTTATTCCATGTTCTCGTCAGAGTACATTGTATAAGACCAAAATTAAAGTGAATTATGCAATCGTCACAACTGCTGTCATCTGGATGCAGTGCTAGCAATCAAGTAGCTCCAAATATGACATTTTTAATACACTATACCATACCCTTGCTGTGCTTTACTTACAGGTATATGTGTATGTGCTTATAGACTTGATATTCAACAAGGCAAAGTATGCTGGGTAATCAATAATCCCAACTGGCAACATTTAACCCTTTCACCACTGCAGACCTTAATGGACTCAACCAGATCAATGCATGTTAAAGTTTACTTAAGTTACATAGGGGTGAAAGGGTTAAATTAGATTGAAATGGTACTGTTTGTGTTCACTTTCATATCCATAGATAACTTCAAGTGTCTCCAGCATCTCTTATACAATTCTAAAATATGAAGTACATGCTGGAAGGTAAACAAATGACAACATTTAGCCATTGTACTTGTTGGTGAAATGATATAACAGCATGCTATAACCCACTCACTGATTTTGTTGAACTGCTCCTTTGCATCATCTGTGAAACGCTCAAAGTAAGGGTTGTCCTGTGACAACAACGTAAGCATGTCGTCACGTCCAAAGTGGAGCGTCCGTCCCATTATCATATTGTGTAAGGCTCCCAGGCCCTGTAATACATTCCATATAAAACAGTAAGGATAAAATCAGATATATTCAAAAGATAAGAATCAGGAAATAAATAAATTTGATTGAGCTTCACTTTTAGTAGTTAAATATAAATAAAATGTTGTTGTATGATTCTGACTTGGGGCTATTATGAACATGGACATATTGGGAGATAAGAAGGCTCTTTCATTAATGACAGGTGTAAGGGTTTAAAATAATTGTTGGAACATGTAAGTAGCTGTCAAGGCGAAACAAACTTATAATACAATACACCCTTTAATAATTCTGTTAGGAAACTTTTGGTTTGTTTGTGTTTTACGTCCTAACAACAGATATTTAAGGACGCGCCAGGTTTTGGTGGTGGAGGAAAGCCGCCAGGTTTTGGTGGTGGAGGAAAGCTTGAGTTCCCAGAGAAAAACCAATGACCTACTGCCCCACATATGTCTTGAACCTGTGACCCAGTTGTGGAGGGCTAGTGGTAGCAGAATGTCAGACACCTTAACCACTTGGCCACTGTGACCTTTGTTAGGAAACAAAAGGGGGAGGGGGGAGTTGGTTCAAGTTTGTAAATTGTGAAAATGATTACAGTGTTACTGGAGCAGGATGTCACCTCTACATATTATACCGAAAAACATATTATTCGTAAAAAAAACTTCCCTGAAGTCACATTTTACCTGCCTGTCTTATCACAATTTTAAATATTCCTTATGATTTACCTGCCTGTCTTATCACAATTTTAAATATTCCTTGTGAGCTAAATTATTAAAGGAGATATCACATGTCTCAAGCATTAAGAACAGCATCACAAGACTGAATGGGTGGGTAGAGTGGCGCAGTGGATAGCCCACTTGCCTTTCACCAAGGCGGCCAGGGTTTGATTCCCCAATCGGAAGTGAAAAGGTATGGGGTCACCCGCCCGACCATCTGGGTTTTCTCCAGGTACTCCGGTTTCCTCTCACAGTAGGACCCTCCCCCCTTTTACAAGACTGAATATTTCAATAATTTTAGACTGCAAACACTTGTGTTAATAGATGGTGATTGTATGTTTTGACAGTAAATGGAAATGTGAGAGGCCAACTTACCTCCTGGTTCAATCTGAAGTCACATTCTGGGACTATAGGAGATGGACTCCGCCCAAAAGCTTTTACACCTGTATTGACAAACTGTGAAAAAAACACTTATTTATAATCTGCACCTTACAACACTCAAAATATTTAATAATGGTATTTATTTTTCATTATTAGACTAACATTTTTAATATCTTGGATAACAATGTAGTTAGCATAAATTGAAATTCACACTGTTTATCATATAATACAAATATTTTCCACTGAGTTGTTTCAAAGATGATTGAGACAAAAGCAAACCTAACAACATTCAATAGAAAACAATTTCTTAGATTCAGTTACAAAAACAACTTATAATCATAATCATTACTATCTTACCTTAACTCTGCTGCAGTTCCTCTGAACCAGGTTACGTACAGGTTTAGAAACATAGTACAGTGAGCGAATCCTCCCGGAGTCTGTACGGTATAATATCTGGTCCGCTGTTAGCTTCTCAGACAAACTGTAGAACTCTCTACAAATTAGGTTTAGAAAATTTTAAATCAAGATTGAAATCAAACTGATTTTAACATGATAAAAAGCCATTCTGTAAAATTCTTACATATTTGAGATATTCATTTGAAGGAGGGAAAGTTGATAACCAATGTAAAAAGCTTGAGAAACATTCTCAGGTATATTCAAATAAAAGTGATGTGTGTTATTGTTCGATTTTCAAACTTTGATCCTTATTCTCAAAAATTTGTTTGAAGCACTTTAAAAATAGGTATTCCCAAAAGTAATTAAGTCCATATGATATTTCCTAAAAAAAAAGTAGTATTCAAAAGTGTTAATGAGGTGGAGAACTGAGTAATATGGTATCTATCAATAGGGTCCTGTATTAACTTTGACCTTGATAATGGTGAAGTTAACTCAAAACATAGCACTAGAGGGCGAAGTGTGATACCAACCTGATAGGTGTAAATAGCGGGTCTTCCTTCTCCAGGAACAGGAACGGATCTTCTTTATATCCCTGCATGCGTTTGTTATGTTTGCCATCAAACGCCCTTAGAAATGATCAACATCATGTTAAACAGAACAAACACGGTAAATGTTATACAGGATGTGTTATTTTGTTATGTTAGAGGTGACTTAATCACTGTAATATTTTACCATCACCTATTTTCACACCAGTACTCTAGGAGGGAACTACAAGACTAAACCATGCATGTCTGTTCATCATTTAACTGTCCATCTATCATTCCATCTCTACGTTCTGTCACACTATGCATGGGTATATCTTCTGTACCATATCTAATTTGGTACCTTTTAGAAGAGCAGAGTCTCACATACTAAAAGAAGGTCACTGTGACCTGTATATCAAACTTTGTCTTCTGTCATTGAAAGACTTTGCCTTTTCCACATTATAACTATAGATACTCCAATGGGCCTGCATTGCTCACCTGGTATAAAACTCACACTTGTAACCTTAAAAGTGATCTAAAATAAAGCTACAGGCAAAATATCAGTATTTATGATTAAAATTCGTTCAAAAGACCGTTATTTTTTTTTAAAACCCTGTGAATGAAAGTCGAACAAAGTCATTATGTTGAACACATTGTATAGCCTTTCATCTCAGGATGCAACTTGCAAAGTATAAACATCCTGGGACCCATGGTTATTCATAAGAGGTTGTTTAAAGATTTTAAACAAATTTGACCCCTGTGACCTTGAATATAAGTCAAAGTCATTCACTTTAACAAACATAGTAGTCCTTGATCCCAGCATATGCTACTAACTAAATATCAACATCCTGAGCCTTTTGGTTATTCAGAACAAGTTGTTGAAATATTTTAAACATATTTGCTCCTTGTGACCTTGAATATGATTCAAGGTCATACATTTAAACAAACTTGGTAGCCCTTGATCCTAGTATGCTACTGACTAAATATCATCACCCAGGGCATTTTGGTTATTCAGAAGAAGTTGTTTAAAGTTTTTAACATATTTGACCCCTGTGACCTTGAATATGGGTGAAGGTCATTTATTTGAACAAACTTTGTAGCCCTTTATCTCAGCATGCTACTGGCCAAATATCATTACCCTGGGCATTTTGGTTATTGAGAAGAAGTTGTTTAAAGTTTTTAACATATTTGACCCCTGTGACCTTGAAAATAGATGAAGGTCATTTATTTGAACAAACTTGGTAGCCCTTCATCCCAGTTTGCTTCTGGCCAAATATCATCACCCTAGGCCTTTCGGTTATTAAGAAGAAGTCGTTTAAGTAAAATATTGACGCCGGACGACGGATGCCGCACCACGGCATAAGCTCACTTGGCACTTTGTGCCAGGTGAGCTTAAAATGCACTAGCCCGACGCCCTGAGCTACCGGATTTTCAGCTTGGGCTAGTGAAATTTAGAGGCTTACTAGCCTGGGGCTAGTGACTTTTTTAGAATGTCAAGCAAACAAAAATGCTTCTGTTCTATTCTATCATCATCAGGGTACTCATTTTAAATTTTAAACCTGTGAATTCCAGGTAATTTCACTACAATTTCTATAAGAACACATGGAGCCATTCACACGGTATTGATGATGTAAGACGTTCTGTTGCCTTTCACATGTGTTATGTGTCGTAGTAGGCACTGCTAACAACTTAAATAGCATTGAAAGTCTATACTAACCAACAAATTGGCCCTCTTTGTTGCAAATCATTCTCTTTTATTTGACTTAAGCATGTGGGGTACAGAAATAAAGTTCATCTCTCCAAAAGTCGACAAGTCCACCAGGTTTGTTTATGATGCTTTATTTCTTATAATGAAATTGGAATCCTGACAGATTTTCAGGAAGTCAAAAAAAATTTTTTTTTTTTTTTTGTGGGGAGGGGGATCAAGTTTCAATTACTTTTAGCCATTTAGCTATTAAATAGTAATATAAAATTACTTTTATTTTTTTGAATGAAAACATATCCACCTGTGAATGAGATATAGATCATGTGATCATGTTGTAAGCTTGATCGATTTTGTATTTGTCGGGCTAGCAGAATTTTATTTTGGGCTAGTGGATTATTAGTGTCTACTAACCCTGGGCTAGTATCCTCAAAATTATTTTTTACACCCATGACAGGTCTTGTTTTTGGAAGTGTCACATACTAAAAGTAGGTCACAATGACTATCAATCTATATCACAGTAAAAGGCTTGTCTGGCATAAGACTTCTTTAATATGCCAAGTATGAGCACTAGATTTTGTAGACAGACACATGTCACCAGTGGTATACATGTATCACTGTCACCTACACCTTCCCTTTCGACCAATATTACAGTTTGTTGACAGCATACCTAACTAACATCTGTCTAGAACTCGTAGGACCACCAAAACTGCTGCATGCTTAAAATAGTAATTTTTGCCCTAGAACTCTTCATTTAGTAATATACTATTTTACAAGATTGGGCTTTCAAATATTCCATACTTCTATTCATTTTCAAGTGGCATTTATACTACCATGAACAGGGGGGGTACAGATTCAGCCTACTTATCATCTGGGTGTAGACTATCAGCTTTCCTCTTCTCTCCCTGTGTTCCTGTGCCAGGTGCTACATCTCCAGTGTCTGCTTTCTCTGTGTTGGGGACTGTGTCGTTGTCTGTGCCATCTCCAGTGTCCATATCTGTTTTCTGAGCTGAAGGTTCTGCACCGGTCTGTTCCATGCATATGTCTCCTCCTACAGACTCTGACTTACTGTCTGTACTGGAAGATTCTATTTATGAAAAAATACTCAATAGTTTATAATCAATTTAAATGGAAAGCTTCTGGTAGATCGTTTCACTTTTACCTGTATGTTTTGACTAATTACTGACCCTGATATTTTCATCTGTTGTTGTTGACTGATCACCTGCTGCTTTTGACCGATTGTTGACCCCTATTTTTTTACCTGTTGTTTTTTGACCTATTGTTGACCCCGATATTTTTACCTGTTGGTTTTTGACTGATTGCTGACCCTGATATTTTGACCTGTTGTTGGTGATGATTGGTTGGACATGATTTTTTTATCTCTTCATTTGACTGGTTAGTTGAACCTAGAGCTTTTTTTCTGATGGACTTGAATTATCAGTTGACACTGAAGTTTTTGTTTTTGCTTTGACTGACTGACTGACCTGTATCTTCACTTTATTGAATTGTTTGAACTTTGTGATTTACGTATTGCTTTGACCGAATGCTGGGTTAGCTCTGACCTTTATATCTGTCCAAGTTGAAGGCTTGGTTAAGTTGATTTGAATTGTATGCTTGTTGTTCAGGCAGCCAGGTAAACATGATGACTTTTCCTCTTAACTTGATAACTTCATAGTATCTAATTATAGAATAGGATGTTTGGTAGGACCTGTTTTCACCCATTGATCAAGTTGCTGGGTTAAACTTGCTTTTTATACCTTTAGATGTCAACTGACTGTAAAGCCCTTTTTTAATTATTTATTTTAATGAAACTAATGACTTTTCACCCTTTCAGGCTGTAACTCTTAGCAACTTGATGACATCACATGTATTCTTTATTGTTCTAGTCACATGACCTTTACTGTCATTGTACCATATTTGCAAACATGTATCTGTGCTCTGAAGACGGCCTCCCTTTGGCCAAAACATGTCGCATGTAGGATATAACTCAAACATTACATTTTGTACCGGATTCAGTGGTGTTGTTGCTCATCATTTCTATTTTCTTTTGCTCTGCTTTCCCTGATGAGCACTGTTGAATACCATTAAGGTATCCACCCCAGGATCCCCACTGCCACTATGGATCTGACTTCCTTGCAGGGACGTTGGGTCTCCACCCCCCTGTTGTTTTTAATAAAACTGTTTGGGATTTACACCAGGAATATTTACCTGTGTCCTTTGGTGGTGGCTGCCAGGGAAGGTGTGTCTTTTTCGTGAGGACCGCTATAAAGAATCCTCCAGTATCCTGGTGATGGGGAAGGACACGAACACTGAAAAGGATCAAACACACTGAGATATACTGGGACTGCTCAAGTCCATAGGAGTACAACATTTAAACCTGGAGAAAAATATTCTGCTATTGAAAATCATTGAACACCTATTAACAGCTTTGGTCACTTAAGGACGTGCCAGGTTTTGGTGCTTGAGGAAAGCCAATTTTCCTGGAGAAAAGCCACCGACCTATGACCTGTACCTGGCGACTGCCCCACGGAGGTCTCGAACCAGCGACCCAGTGGTGAAGGACTAGTGGTAGCAGAATGTCAGACGCCTTAACCACTTGGCCACCGCAGCCAAATACAAGTACCTCACAAATGTTCTGTGCATTTTACACAAAAGTCATGCATATTTTACTCTCTAGCTGAAAACTGTATTGAAAGTTGTTCTTGATTCCTTTTTATATGAAATGGATAAGATTATTAATAAGAAACATGAATGAAATGTATTGAAACACAGAGTTGTCTAACAAACTGTTCTCAGTACTATATAATGAATTATTTTATCACAGATATCATAAGCATAATAAAAAACCTCCAATTTTTTTCTGGATATAAGTACTTAAACCTTTATACCTTCAATAACAAAACAACTGTACAGTGTACCATTGATAGCATATTTGAAGTTTGATTTTAACAATCTTTACAGTTTTTCTACATATCCATGTATGTGAATTTTTATTTACCAGCGGTCCAGATGTAAGGCCTTGGCAACATCTGCAGGGGGACAGAAAAATGTAGGGTTCATGTTATTGACCTTGTCCTCCTTGGCAGCCTCATAAGTCTCGTACCACTGACCTTGATCCAAACCGCCAAAAAACAGCTGTCAACATAAAACATAGAGTGTAAAGTTAGTGAAGTGTTCGAAGGAGTAAAAATTTATTATTTGCTGCACACCAGGAAATTTTCCCCGCAGTTTAACTTTCACAATTTTTACTTAAAGGGTGAATTACCATTGCATCTAACATTAGTTGTCAACATACTTTACATGGCTATTCAATTATCAAGAGCAAAATGAACACTGCACAAAAATGAATCTACCAGTAAAGTGTCATAAGAACTTGCATTGCAATAATGGATGTACTTCTGAAAATATTAAAAAAAAAAAGATTGACAGCGGACGTACTTCAATCTAGATAATTCACTACCTCTAATATCTGTTAACTCTATGACCCCTTACCTTCCAGGACGTTAGACCACGGACATACTTCAGTCCAGGTAACTCACTGCTGACATCCACCATCTCCACACTACCTGTTTACCAGCATAACATCAAACAGAAATAATTTTACATTTGTATAATGAAATCTTACAGGACAAATGAACACAGGAAATCTTACATGACAAATGAAGATATTAAACATGTCAACGAAAATGACAAAATTTTCTGTTTCCCAATTCAAACATACCTGTAAACCTTAGAAACACAAACCAAATCCAGACAGGTTTTCTCCAATAAAAGTAAACCAACCTACCTTTACATTGGTCCAGCATTGCGGCTATGACAGCCTCATCCTCCACTGGGTTAAAGGAACATGTGGAATATACAAGTCGCCCACCCACTTCTAACAACTCTAGGCCTCGCCGCAGGATCTTTGTCTGTTGTCTGTGGCCAAAATAACACCAAGAATTACCTCTAGTGGTCGACTGATTAATCACCTTAGCTAAGTTTTGGTTGGTAAGGCCAACTTTCAAATAAATTCATCTTGTCAGGTATTTATTTTGAGTCACTTCTCGAGGGAAAATTCTGTATAAGCATCAATGGTTTTTCTCTGTAAATAGGAGTATATTTGCAAGGCTTTCTGAATGTCAGACAGGCATGAGTACAGTAGATATTGACTTAACATCAAACTGAGGAAGGATTGAAGTCTCGTGTTATGACAACCATCTCAAATATTCTTCTTATGAAGAAGACAAATAGAATCTTTCAGCCCTTTGGAGTGAGATTGGGGAATCTCAACCCTAGGGGAAAAAATCTAAAGTTGTCAAACACAAGGCTTTGCCGAGTGTTTGGTAACTCAAGAACCTTTTCCCGTGGGTTGGGATTCCAAATCTCACCTCAAGGAGGTGAATGATTCTTTTTCAGTTTATACCCTGTTCACCCTATCCTATAAATAACGCAATGTTAATCACAGGCTAAAAGTGTTGTGGACGTGACGCTGATGTACTGTTGATGTGATGTCATTGTATTGTGATGTGACGTCATACAATTATCATTAATAGGGGCAATCCCCTCAACCCTAGAGTGAAACAAGGATATCTCGCACCAGGAAAAGTGTGGATTCACCTATCCAGGGTAAAAGAATAATAGAATCTCTCACCCCCTTGGGGGTGAGATTGAGGAATCCCAACTTGAGGGGGAAGATTCTTAAGTTATACGAGGCTTTGCTGAGTGTTTGGCACCCTTAAGAATTTTTCCACGAGGATTGGGATTCCCAATCTCACCTCCAGGGAGTGAATGATTCTTATTCTCTTGCCCTAATCACCCATTGTGTATCATATAAATAATGTTATGTTATCGTTACAGACTAAATTCAGGGCTGACGTGACATTGATGGATTGTTGACGTGATGTTATACCATTGTTATGAATAGGTGAAACACCCCGTCTCAACCCTAGGGTGAGACAAGGAAATCTTGCACCAGGAAAAGTGTGGATTCACCTGTCCAGGGTAAGAGAAAATGCTTTCCTATCCTTGATTCAGGGAAGGCAAATCTAACTTTCATTAACTAAATTAAATCGTCATGGAACAGGTGTACTCTTAGTTCACAACCCTAATTGATAACTAGTTGATCACGAATAGATAAAGAGGAATTTGTGATCGACCAAGACATATCGACCGATTCCCCTATATTTCTTTACCTGTGAAGGTTCATCGCCTGATTCATACTCCATTTTTCCCAGATGTCAAAGTTCTTCCTCATAGTACCGTCTCCACTAGTAAAGACAAAAATATTCCATTCCTGGCAAAATGAAAATAGAAAATAAATGCCCTCAACCATAAGAAAGAAGGAATGTTTCTTAAAGCCATATTACAACAACAATTAATAATTTGTAACAACATATAACAAGTCCTGTTGTAACTGGCATGGGTCATTATCTAATTTAAATATTGATAGAGGAAGAAACTGAAATATCAATACGACAATGTACTGAAATACCAACATGACAATGTCAACTGGATCAAATATCGTGTTAACTGTTGTCAAATCAAATCCATATGTTATGATCCTTTGTATAATTGCCTCTCCTCACCTGCATGGCACATCACAGAGGACTCGGTCGAACATCACAAAGTCATGGGCACCATCCTGTAAAGTAATACTGTAAGCTTTAAGGCCTCTCTCAGCAATGATTGTTATACTAATGGGTGAACTCACGAGGATTAAAAAACGTGAAAGACCGTTCCAGAAAGAAAGGGGAGCAGACAGGACAGCACAGGGAGGCAGGAAACACTTGTTCTGTACCCCCACCGTGGCCATTATTGTTTCAGGGTCAACTATATAAATTCTATGTTTAACTAAGACCCGACACTCATATAATTTAAACTATAAGTACATTTCTGCTGCTAGCCTTAACCCGCTCCAATATATCTATAAAGATCTTTAGAATATCTTTACTGCAATTTTGAAATATCCTCTTGGTTTGGAGGTTCATGATCTTCAAAACAACATTAAATCATTCACCCCTGAAATTTTATAATGAACTATTCCAACCTTTGAATTGGAAGAGTTCAAATGTGTCTTTAGGGTGAATGAGTTACAACCTACATATCTCCTCAAGCTTAACATAAATCATCAACACTAGCTTGAAGGTTAAGAGACTCATGATAAGCAAAGCTGTATCATATATGACATCGCCATTCATGTCAAAGTTATACAAACATTGATACACTTCAGTTTGAAACGAAGCTAAAGACGTACCCCACATCTGAGTTTTGGCAGACTGGTGGCATCGTGGTTCATAATGGCACAGCATGGACTCTGTAAACGTTTTACCTGGTGGACCATCAGATAGCAGCGCTTGTTATCTACATCATTAGCAATTACAAACCCCTCTGAAATTAATGATAATTTTTTTTTTAAACATGTCAAAACCTAAATTTGCATACACTGGAGTGTTGTATCGAAAACAATAAATACATTCATATATTCATTAAATCATTTATCATTAACAAATAATTAGCCTGTCTAATCTGACCTCTGAGTATTTTAACATCCTGTCTGTATGAAGCATAATGTCAATCCATATCTTATCAAAACTACCAAGTAAGACCTATGTATGTTTTCTAATATTCTCTCTAATCTGACCAATATGTTATGTCTCACAAGATGTTATATTATCTAACATAGGTTTTAGATTAAATAACCAATTAGAGTTATAACTGTATATGTTTATATTTTAGAATGGTTTGTGCTTTATTATGAATGTGCCAATTAAGTTCTGGTATAGTGTTGTTTAGGGTGCGCCAATTCATCAATGCATTAACCCTTTCACCACTGTAGACCTTAATGAACCTATCCAGATAAATGTATGTTATAGTTTACTAAAGTTTCCTAGGGTTGAAAGGGTTAATCTATATAAATTTGGATACTGAACTTAAATTTGAGTGTGAAAAAAGAACCAAGAATTTCTTTCCATACTGAAAAACATTTGAAATCAAGTTGAGGTAGGAATGTCACAAGCACTTACCTGGTTCTTCAGTCGTGTCACCGGAGTGAAGGTATTCAATCAGCTGTGAAGTCTTTGAGCCGGGAGCTGCACACATGTCCAAAACCTACATATACAAGGAAATTATCACCAACTTGCTCACTTCTCATTTATCTCTAATGCATTCAATACAAACATGACAGATTGAATTATAACGGCAGACTTACACATACTGTCTAACGGCAGACTTACACAATGACATACTGTCTAACGGCAGACTCGCACATACTGTCTAACAGCAGACTTACACATACTGTCTAAAGGCAGACTTACACATACTGTCTAACGGCAGACTTACACAAACTGTCTAACAGCAGACTTACACATCCTGTCTAATGGCAGGCTTACACATACTGTCTAACAGCAGACTTACACATCCTGTCTAACGGCAGACTTACACATACTGTCTGACGGCAGACTTACACAATGACATACTGTCTAACGGCAGACTCCCACATACTGTCTAACAGCAGACTTATACATACTGTCTAACAGCAGACTTACCCATACTGTCTAATGGCAGACTTACACATACTGTCTAACGTCAAACTTACACATACTGTCTAACGGCAGACTTACTCATACTGTCTAACGGCAGACTTACACATGCTGTCTAACGGCAGACTTACACAATGACATACTGTCTAACGGCAGCCTCGCACATACTGTCTAACAGCAGACTTACAGATACTGTCTAATGGCATACTTACACATACTGTCTAACAGCAGACTTATACATACTGTCTAACAGCAGACTTACACCTACTGTCTAATGACAGACTTACACATACTGTCTAACGGCAGACTTACTCATACTGTCTAACGGCAGACTTACACATATTGTATAACGGCAGACTTACACAAACTGTCTAACGGCAGACTTGCACATACTGTCTAACGGCAGACTTACTCATACTGTCTAACGGCAGACTTACACATGCTGTCTAACGGCAGACTTACACATATTGTCTAACGGCAGACTTACACAAACTGTCTAACGGCAGACTTAAAAATACTGTCTAACAGCAGACTTACACATCCTGTCTAATGGCAGGCTTACACATACTGTCTAACAGCAGACTTACACATACTGCCTAACGGCAGACTGAAACATACAGTCTAACGGCAGACTTAAACATACAGTCTAACGGCAACCTTACACATACTGTCTAAAGGCAGACTTACACATACTGTCTAAAGGCAGACTTACACATACTGTCTAACAGCAGACTTACACATACTGTCTAACGGCAGACTTACACATACTGTCTAAAGGCGGACTTACACATACTGTCTAACAGCAGACTTACACATACTGTCTAACGTCAGACTTACACATACTGTCTAACGGCAGACTTACACAAATGTTTCTGGTATTAACAAACAGGTTAAATTAAAACACAAGGATTGTACACTGCTTGATCAACCTCATAGGGTTATGAATTGAGCTTGTCATGAGACAAATTCAACATAAATTTCAGTTATTCCCACCCCCCTCCCCCCGGAAACTAATTTAAATCATCACCTAATCACTTAATGAAATCTACAAAAGCAAGATCCAATCCTTAATTGAAATGTATAGATACTGTCATAATGGAAATATTTATATGATCATTTATGAAGTCCAATAAACTTCCTCATCTTCCTACATGCCAACATGATGACAATGTTTGTTTTTAATGTCAATGTAAAAACAAAATACCTTATGATGTGGCTTGATGTCCATTACCAATGGCGGGATCATAGACACAGCTTCCTGGCGACTAATATTTCCCTATAAACAGAAATAATATGATTAATATTACTTAAAACTTTTGAAATTTCCATGGGGGAAATTACGTGTGCTAGGAATTAAGAGCATAAATAAAATGTGCAACACTTTTAAATGGCATCTTTGAATTGGTCTTTTCAGATGATATCATCAGATCTTTGAAAATAGAAATAGTTCAGCAAATTCACTGATTGAAAATGCTCAATTTTAGGGTCAAAAATCACAGTCTCCCTCCAAAATAGGGAGGGTTGGCAGGTATGTACATGTATCTGGTAATCAATTCTGCCCATTAAGCTTATTCCCTACATTTCAATTCTAACAATTTCTGCAAGACACAACTCTATGACTACTTTTACTTCTAAATTTATCGAAAACAACACCAGACATGAGTTGGTGGTGGGAATTTCACCATCCACACTAATGAGTAGAAGTATTACGTCATATTACAGTACACGAGATAACTTCACAGGTTTTAGAGGCTTACTCTCCAGCATAAACCATATCATGAAAACCTTATGAGCTTAACAACAATTTAAGGGAGAGAATGTTATCTCTCGGTGTTGCATCTCCAACAAAATAGAGTTCCAATTTCTTCAGCACTTCCTGATCCAGAGTTGCCTACCCATATATTACTGCAGAGGGTTGTATACAGAAGAATAAGTCTGTTATGGATTTCCTTTTTTATATTTGAGTATAAGATCCTTGCACTACTTTATTATAAAGCAGAGAGCTTGTCCTTATCCACAGCACTTCCCAACATGATGGTATGCTTTTAATATATTTGTGCACCATTAATGGGAATAATTGTACAATGTTTAACCTTCCTAAGAGACACGTAATGGATAATTACTTTTGTATGAATAAAAGAAACTCAAATAACATAAATTTAAAAGGGAAATTTATCTTCAAAATAATTTTAAAAGACATATATAAACTACATTAAAATATTGCAACCTACAACATCAATATTGTATTAAATTGTTTTGTAATACAATAATATCACCACAGTAATATCTGCCCAGACAAATCCCCATAAAACTAAGAACTGTACATAACATTTTAGTGAGATCCCTAACCACTTTGCAAACTACATCAAAGTTATTCCAAAACTTACACTTTCTGTCTCAAACACCAGAAATTTTTTCAGTTTCTCCAGCCGAGGAACATGCCTGACCTCCTTCTTGGAAAGGTTAATCTGCCAGCCCAGCTCATCTGGGTACCTAGACATGACAAAGAGACGTGTCACATACACCTTAACATAGAAACAACAGATATATATACATTATGTAATATGGGTCAAAGAAGTAATTCCAACAGTGTGGACAAGTTAGGTTGTCAAACTTTCGGAGCGATACGCTCCTTTATCAAGACACAGTGAAACAGAACAGTTACATGTACATATACATCATATTACAAGAAGATAGAACTGATATACTATAATTGAAAATATAGCTATTATATAAAAAAAACAATAGTCCCCTTGGCTAAAGACAGCCGAAGGCAGCAATTAAGCTGAGAACATCGCGGACAAGGAACGCTGATGTAGAGGACCTATTCTTGGGCAAGATGCACTATCACATAAAGTGAGTCAACGAGAGATAAGCACCAGAAAGAAGGGACGAGATATCAAAACCGTGGAACATGTGCATGTGGGAATCTGGCCTGGTAAATGTGAAAAATCTCAATTTCCTCGGAATGCCCTCATTAGTCGCCTCTCTTTCTGCAGTGGATATCACAGTCAAAGCAGGGGGTCCACACTTAGTCGCCTCTTTCGGTTTGAAGGAATAATGCTTGCAGGAATAATGCATGTAAGTATCAAATAAGTGAGTGCAGGAGGAATAAGAAGATGAAATGGCTAAGACACTGTATAAATCTACAAAATTAATCTGACAACGGCTGTAGGTCACACACGCTGACATGCAGCAGCTGGCAGGCAAGATAGCAGACCAACTGTGAACTAATATAACGATAGACGGTTGCCATCCGCTCGTTTTCCTTCCAGGGGGCATTTGACCTAATGGTGCATTACTGCACAGTTGGCCCGCTCTCTCGCCTGCCTGCTGCTTCATGTCAGTGTGTGTGACCTACAGCCATTGTCAGATTAATTTTGTAGATTTATACAGTATCTTAGTCATTTCATCTACTTATTCCTCCTACTCTCACTTATTTGATAATTACATGCAAGCATTATTCCTTCAAACAGAAAGAGGCGACTAAGTGTGGACCCCCTGCTGTGACTGTGATATCCACTGCAGAATTGAGAGGCGACCAATGAGGGCATTCCGACGAAATTGAGATTTTTCACATTTACCGGGCCAGATTCCCACATGCACATGTTCCACGGTTTTTAAAACTCGTCCCTTCTTTCTGGTGCTTATCTCTCGTTGACTCACTTTATGTGATAGTGCATCTTGCGCAAGAATAGGTCCTCTACATCAGCGTTCCTTGTTCGTGATGTTCTCAGCTTAATTGCTGTCTTTAGCCGAGGGGACTAATGGTTTTTTTTATATAATAGCTATATTTTCAATTATAGTACATCAGTTCTATCTTCTTGTAATATGATGTATATGTACATGTAACTGTTCTGTTTCACTGTGTCTTGATAAAGGAGCGGATCTCTCCGAAAATTTGACAACCTAACTTGTCCACACTGTTGGAATTACTTCTTTGACCCATTTACTATTTTAAGTAATTCGTATCCTACGGACATACCTCCATTAGGATCAAGTGTTAATATGGGATTTTACCGTCTATATTACTTCTTTGATCCATACATTATGTAATAGATACAAAACAACTTTTTATCCAATACCAGTAGATTCATGTTAACGTTTTGAAAATAATCCTCCATTCTTGTTTTATTTGACATAAAAAAAAATCAAATTTGTTGCACTTTGTTCTTTTGAAGCATGGTTATTGAGCTTTTAAGGAGAAAAGCACTTTGATATCCATACCAAAATAAAGGTTAATGGTACATGCAAGTTAAGCAAACAATACAAAAACACAAAAAATCAAAAACTTGAACTTCATAATGACGATAAATCTTACTTATTTCCTTGTTAAAACATTAAAACAAGACATATAATCTTTTAATAACAGCTGTTGTTATTGAGCAGAAGACACTGACATACCATGTGAGATTCTTGGGCACCACAGGGTCACGCTCCTCAAGCTCATCCTCAGTAAATTTCATTAAGTCATTCAGGTACTGTCCTTTCACTATTTTCATCAATTCCTTAGATTGTCTGAAAAACAGCACAATGAAATATTGAGAATATATTTATATTTGCATCATAACTGTTTAGTCACAACACCAGTTTTTATTATCAAAGCCACATTCATTTGTGTCCGGATAATGTTTTTGTTAACCACACAGGAAAAACAAGGCTGCACTACATAGGTAGTGTACATATTAATTGTATACATGTATCCTTGTGGTACATAAAAAACTATCAGGTGACATGTTGTACAATCATGTCCAATTAACTAAATGGCATATTTTCTGCCTATGGCACAGGGGCATGGATCGCTTTACTTGTAATATCAAAAAATAGGGGTCTCCTATACTAATATATTTATTAGTATAGGAGACCCCTATTTTTTGATATTACAAGTAAAGCGATCCATGCCCCTGTGCCCTATGGTATGTTTTCTCCTGTCATGCTGATTTCACATCTTACACCTGATGCCACTTAGTTGGAATGTTTGTTGGGGAGTTTAGTAGGTACCTAATACATGTATTAGTAAATCAAACATTGGATGAACAACCTTTTGAATACATATCCAAGTTTTTCCTATGCAAGCACCAGGTAACAAATTGTGATGTTGAATTAACAACATCAGACAAACATCAGAGATTCTTCAAATTTAAATTTAAATTTAAAATTACAATAGTATCATTAACCGAAAATCTATCATTTTACTAATTATGGCAAGGAGCAGAACATTTCGTGATTTCAGAGAATATTTTCTATTCATCCAAATTTACTCACCCTTTGAAGCCAGTGATTCTAAATGTTACAGGTAACGGTTCCCGGAGGGTCTTAAGGAATTGATCCCACTCCCCCTCTGGTACGATTCCGACACCCTGTAGCAAAGGTCAAACATCAGTATACAGCAACTGCATTCAGCCAGATAACAAAATGTTTTACTTTCAAAATTTTTGTCTGTCAAACTACAGTGTTCAATATTTATGGTAGATAATTTCATGATAATAATATACAACAATATACAACATTTGATATAGTGCCCTATCTAGCTAACATAAACCACTCTAAAGCGCTTTACAGTGCATAGATATACATTAATCAATACAATGTTTGAGGAATTCGCAGGAGCTGCCTTATCTGACAGGCACTAACTAATAGTCCTATGCCACCTGACTAATATCTCCCTATGAGTGTATGCCTGCGTGAGTGCTGGAGATGTATTGTGTGCTGTTTGTAGTGGGACCTTGCTTCCAACGGCAACTTTTATAGTGCCGACCCCACTTAAATGCTACAGCATGTGCACAGATACCACAACATCCACCCCAGACCTGCGTGGAAGGCCGAAGTGTTAACCACTCGACCAATCCGCCCAAATAAAATAACTATCATGTAGTTACGGTACATATTATGTAACCCTATCAACACTAGCTTAGATAAGACCAGATAAGGCCAAATAAAAAAATAGTTTGTGCTTCCGCTAACTCTATATACATGTACCTACCCTGGGATCAATCTAGACTTGATTCACTACCGTTTATGGCTAGTTTCCACTACTGAAGAAAACCCCAAGGTTCTTTGAAATTCCCCCTATGTGCTTTAAAATTCCCCTATTTTAACAAGAAAATAGCATTTTTTCTTCAAAATATTTCCCCTTATATGTTTTCTTTAAAGTTTAACAGTTAAAATGCATAATACTGCATACAATATATATATACATTTTCTTCGCATAATTTAAACAAACATTCTACAATTTTAAGCTTAAAATGGTTTATAAATTGAAATATACTCCACACATGCAAGTCGGAAAAAACATTTATCTTTTACCTTCATAACGCTAGAGCCTTGTGTCAAATTAAATTTCCCCCTAATCTGAAAAAGGATAGATTTGAATTCCCCTTAAAGCTAGATTGATCCCTGCTACCCTAGATTTTTGTTCCCGACTGCCCTACCCTAAAGTTTCAATTAGCATTTAGTGACATGCACTGTTTAAGTCAGAACTGGTACCCCAACTGCTCTATCTATAAGCATAGTAACAAAAAAAAATGCCTACCTGCATACCCTATTTTTTCTGAGGATGATATCGGAAACGCAAGTATTTTTTGTTTGCCTTATGGTTCACAACAGCAAGCTGACAGGAAGATGAATGTCAGGACTACCGTACATTATAGCATTAATTGACAGTCCAATAATACATGACTGCAAATTGTTTTTTACCCAAGCAAACTTCTTTAACATATAAAATAAGAAAACTTGAAATAAAATGATCTTACACTGTCTGTGTGTTGATTAAATAGCACGAGAACATGCAGTACTTACTGAATAAAAAATTTCAAACAGTTCATTCCTGCGGACAGACAGTTCCCAACTGCCTCGACCTTGTTTTTTGGGCTGGAAAAAAGAAGAAGAAAAAAATGGGAAAATATTAAACACGCCAATATATACATATGCTTATTAAACAGCATGGACAAAAATATGGCTTCAATGTGTATGATTAAATATAATTCAATTCAGATTTCTTGCTGCACTTCTTTCCATTTAAAGTAGTACAGAGAAACAAAATGCAAGGAGATATCAAATTTTAGTTATAGGATATATGATTAAATATTATATTGTAAACTTCTTTGTACACTAACCTTAACCATTGTACAGCGTTATATGTGTGGTAGTATAATCTATATGTTAAACCAGTCTTTGTAGTGTATGTTATAGTCAAGTGACATTGAAAATATAGTGTTTTGTAGAAAATATGGGGCATATATATAGTACCGAAATACCCAGCATGATCGATGTTGTCATTATCATCTTTACCTATTGATTAGTGTTTTATATATGTGACATTTACCTGTAATGCATACAGCAGATGACCAGCGTTAGCTATAACTAATAAGACCTTTACAATAATAAGCTGTGCTGTATCAATACATCAGAAATAGTTCTTTTGAGTCATTATTAAAAGAACTGACAAAAAGTCACATTGAAGTTTATATCAATATGTTGATCATGAAAAATGTCAAAATTGTCCACCTGAGCATCTGTATGCCATTGTATAGGTCATAGGAGTGACTTATCAACAAGCCGTACTGATCCAGAGCAAAAACAGAAAATAACATTGCTGTTTAGAAAATTTCTGTACCGCCACTTTTTGTTAATCAGACTCTCTAACTACATTTAAAATGGCGCTCACTCAGGTTGGAAAATTTGAACGATTGAAATTACAGGACTCTTCTGACATAATTAATATTTAGCAGCTGTTGGTGATAATAAGAGTAGATTTGGATGAATGAATAATACATTTATGTATATATGTGAGGTACTATGTATGTGTTATGCCATAGCAGATTTTTGTTGTCAGTACCTCAAAACTCTCCGATACAAAACGATGTCAGAGAATTCCACGTTTTCATATAGAAGTGCGCTCTGACCCCTACCAAATATATGTCTGTCAGAATGTCTAAGTCTGATGTCAGGGCCAGAGGTAACTTGATGCTATGCTACTGAGAGTGAATCATTGATTTGAAGAACTGGACTGTAGTTATCATTTTCTTGAGTTGACTGTACATGTATTTCCCTGTGGCCAACAAATTCACTTGCTCCCTTGTGATGTGTCAAGTAGCATGATCTGACATGTCATCTCTTTGTTCAAGTTTGTTGTACTCCTATAACATAAGAGTACACTGGTCTGCCTTGTTTCTATCGGATATGATTTTGCCGTTACGCTGCACCTGTCAAAAGTATATCTCGCATTGTAAACCTCTTGCACTCGATTGGTATTTTCAGTCAACATTTTAAAGAGACTTTTCCTATTTTTACCAGAAAAATCACATAAAACACAGCTCAATACTATAAAGTTGTACAAGATAATTAGGATATTATGATACCTGGGCTGTCATAATACGTTTTAACAGATAAACTGATAGCAGTGGTGGATCCACAGTTTTTTGGGGGGCTTCATGAAGAACCCTCCACCTTATCTATCTTGTATACTGTTCACAATCCTCTGGGAATTATTCCGAACAGGTGCAACTGTACATGCGTGGCAGCAGGTGAAGTGGGTATAGGTGTATGCACAGTCAGGTTTGTGTATATACAGTGCAGTGTGTGTATTTACAGTGCGGTTAAAAATTTAAAGTGTCTTATACATGTACTCGCGATTCATTTAACCGGGCCTTGAACAGGTCCAAGGGGGTCGTCTGAATGATGTGTAATGGCACCATATTCCACGCTGTGATGGTCCTGGGGAAAAACGAGTACATGTATGTGTTGGTCCTAGTGTGTGGTCTTTGGAATCCCCGACTGTTGTGAGTGCGTGTTCTTCCTTGTTGTGGTATTAAGTACAGGTCTGGTGGAATAGCTACTATGTGGTTGACGATTTTGTACATGAAGATGATCCTGGCTGTTTCCCTACGATTTTCTAGTGTTTTCCAGTTAAGATTGTTCAAAAGTTCTGTTACAGTGCCTGGTGTTTTAGTGTAGTTTCCAGTGACATAGCGCGCGCCTTGGCGTTGAACCATCTCCAGCTTATCTTTGTCCTTGGTGGTATACGGATCCCAAACTGTGGAGCAGTACTCGACTTTTGAGAATTTTCATTTAAAATCATGTATTTTCACCATTTTCTTCAATGTTTCCCCACATGGACACCCCCCTGGAAATTTGGAAACCCACCTAGAAAGGTCTCTGTGATAGCTATAAAGTGGTCAAGCTTATTTCTACATCTTGTATATATCCAGATATCGGCAGACGGTATACTGATATGTTTATGGGATTTTATACACTGTGTAGTTAAACATTGGACCGAATACGTCAAATTTCAGCATTTCACGAAATTTACATAAATAATCTATGAGTGTAGGCTTCGGGACTCGCATGAAGATCGGTCAATGCATTTTCCAATCACGGTGTTTGAAAAGATACACGTGTTTACTTTACAGGAACGTTGCAGATGAAATTCACATAAATGGAAAATATGAATTAAATGTCTGTGTAAAAATCGTATGTACCTGATATTTCCTCCGGCCTCCACGTTTGTTTCGAGGCATCGCTGTTGACAATCGGCGCGAAGCAGATAATATTAATGACGAAACCTGAAGCAACTTTGCAAAACAAACCAGCATGGAAAAAACGGAAGTTTAAAAACTATACCAGCGCACCCTGGTGGTAGGCCACTTTCGTTTCAACAATTTGGTGACCCTAATGAATGCCCATGGAGGTTTTTGAGCGCCTATGATTCGTTAGAAATTTTTTTTCTTTTGATCTCCCTAACATAACTAGCATACATGCAAAATGTTAAGTCGATCAGTACTAGTGCTGTTGGTATACTTAGAAGAGTGCAAAGAACGGAAATACATCGATACATGACTTTGCACTATAATATGCAATGCAAGGGAAACAACTCGTATTGAAAAATAACAGGATTAAGGCACGGTTCTACAAAAGAGCCATTTTCATATTATTCATGATCAACTTTTATCATATGTTTAATGTTAAATATTTACACCAGCTCTAGTCAAATTAACATGTATTTAATACTTCACGTAAACATATATAATAGGTAATCAAATTGATTTCGTTTTAATAGTTTGATATAATCATTTACAGCCGAGCAATTTTGATTGCCGTCACTTTGAAGATTTTGAAAATAGGTTTCTTCTCCTATAATTTTAAAGTTCTCATAGCATGTTAATGATTTATTATTGTCTTTTACTACATTATAAATATTTTTAAAATAACTTCTTAAATAATAACAGCTTTATTGGTGTTTTTATTTCCTTTTCTAGTTTATATCTACTATTATTAATGTTGAAGGGGAAAAAACCGGTCTCACATGGTTCAAAAACTTGCGTTTATATTTTTACTGTTAATGAAACTAAAAATATTTAATTGAAGTAGACAGCTTATGCAAGAATTCCTATTTTTAGCTCACTTGGCCCAAAATGCCTATGGTGATGATAGTTGGCCAGTAGCATGCTGGGATGAAGTGCTACCAAATGTTCAATGAATGATGAACTTCACCTATATTAAGGTCACATGGGTCAAATATGTTGCCGGAAAATCAAGGCCTACCCAAGCTGTATTGCGTCCTCAAAGCCGGAACCGGAGTTGTGACAGAGGCATTACAAGACACACTACTGAGCATAATAAAACAAAAAACCTCGATCTCACATCACACAAAGAAATGACTTATTGCCCGATGAGGTTATGATCGCATTCATAAAACTTGCCCATAAACTTCATATCAACCTTTATCTTCCATCAGCAGTCTACGTCTATTACGGGAATCATGATACTCCAAGCAAGATCGATTATATACACACCGTAGGTCTGGGAAGTAGATATGCTACTATCGAGAAAGGAAAATATCCAGATAAGAAAATCGAAAAAGTCATATGCTTATCGTACATCTTTGTAATATGCCGTGCACCTTTTAGCCTTGATAGAGGAAAGGGCTGATGTTAAAGAGTATGTTGTTTGCCTGATTTCAAGTTCGGGAGGGTATGTTTGGCCTTTGTATTGCTTTTTACGAGATAATGCTCAAGATATTTTATAGTGCTGTTTGCTGTTTGCCTTTCCTGGAAAAGAAATCTGCCACGAGACGAGAGAACAATGGTATGGTTTGGTATGAGACAAACATGGTTGTGGAAAGATTGGAAAAGTATTTTGATAAAATAACCTCCGTGACCACCACCTCTGGGATAAAAAAAAAGTGTGACAATGCACCTGAAAGCTTGATTTGGTAGAGAAACTAGCAGAGTCAACGATTGGTTTTGGTTTTATAGGGTTAAACGTACTATAAACAGCTAAGGTCATTCAAGAACGCGCCTCCATGTTTGTAATGCATGAATATATGTATGCTGGAGGCGGTATGTTGATGTATTTACCTCCTTGAGATAGAGCGGATCTGATGCCAACTTCATAGTGCCAACTTACTACTTACTGAAAAAGCGTGCCGAAGGCACCCATCACAATATCCCGCCCGGTCACATTATAAAGACAACGGGTGAACCGGTTGTGGCCACTACCCAAAATGCTGAACGTTAAGCAGAGAATCACAAATGCAATTTTTAAGGACTTTGGCATGTTTCAGCATGGAAACAGAACCCATTGCCTTTCTCACCTGGGCGAATATTCAACACTAAAGCACAAAGCGAGAAACTGAAGTTTCATCAAGCAAGGCGCTAGGAAACAAAAGGTAGTTAGAAGTAGAGAGATATAAAAAAACACCACCACCGAAATGTTGCGATAGATGCTTTTGCGGCCCCATGTAGAGGTCAAAAATACAAATCCCCAACTCTGCAGGGGATCCCACATTAGTTACCTTGTACAACATGCAGTGGGTAACAGCAGGTATTTTTCATTTTCAATCCCCGACCTGCAGGAGCTATACAAATGGATTCTCTAAAATTGCAGAAAAGGATTAAGTCATTAGATGTTTTGTTAAAAATACACAGTTACACACTGAACATCAAGATCGTTAAGTATGGATTGGATATTTGTGTAAAGAATACAAAATTGGATTTGTTTTCATTTTGGATTTCAAACTGCTTATTATATTTTTGATGATGGACCTTACAGATTTAACCGATTCTGAAAAGTATTCCAGCTCAGCACACTCTTGTATTGCCTTTGTCTGGCGTAATCTTCAACAATATCCACCATTATCTTGAAATTCACACTCCAATTGCTAATAACTAGCTGATAGTTTCTCGATGCTTCGTGACCATGAAAAGCTGTCTTAGCTTTGTATGATATATCTCTTAGATTGTTTGTACCGTCTTGTCCAGTTCGACCATAGTTGTGCAGGAGTGAAGAACTCTAAGGACAATTAAAAATTCAGCCGTTGTAGCGTTTGCTTGTAGTTGAATAGCTTGGAAGCAATATGTTTAAAGTAGCTGCTTGTACTTTATTTCTCTTTACAAAATTACAAATGTACAGGGAAAACATATTTACAACAGTATATAATATTAGAAAGGAATGACATGTTTCTGCTTCTGAGTAGCTTCAAGGAATATTTGATGAAAGCTATTACTAATTTTAATGACAGCCATCCCTTGTAGGTAAATTCAACTTTCATAAAGTTCCGATTTAACGGAGAGTCGTGACTATTGATACCAACGGGCTAAAGAATAACATCAATATTTTTATGGAACCGGAAAAATATTAAATTCCAAGAAAAACAATGTCTAAGGTAAGAACAAGAATAATTTAATATGACCAAAGCCGCAATGAGAACTAAAAGTCGTTGAAACAAGGACAGAATACGAACAATGAAAAGCTGTTCATTAAACGATCTAGACATTATGTACTAAGTTTGTCCGTCACGGCTCGGAATCTACCAAAGATATCGTGATGTTTGGAGCAAGCCATCGAATACCTGATCGAATGCAAATCGTTGACACCGAAGATGGAAAGGCAAGACTGTTGCTATTTAAATGGGGGAAAATTCATGATCGGTAAATCTCAACCGTCATGCAAATCGTACAGCTTATCAGTACGCTAACGACCGAAGTAAGCGACTGATGTGGGAGAGTCTGCAGTGCCTTATATTTTACGTAAAGGAGGGTGTATATATATAATATTTTATCGACGTGATCGTTATTACTTGTTATTCAAAGGCAGGAAATCATCGATATATCTGAAAAGCAAAAATTAAGGTACAGCAAGGGATTCGTTACCAATCTTGATAAGTTTTCAATAAAGCCCACCTGATATGAAAACAAAATTAATTATTGTTAGGAGAGGAGCACATTGTTTTCTTATGGGAGTGCCAACAGCCTGCTGGAAAATCGTGAGACATTGTCAACAACAAACGCAATCTCCCTCGGTGCATTTCAATTTGGCCATTGAATTTTTTAAGCCGTTTTTTAGCAGAAAATGTCTGAAATAATTTTAAACAATTCATGTATATCACAATTGAAAAGAAACTCTCATAAGAATAGAACGAATGCTTTCCTTCAGATTTGTATGTGGTGTAGTTGTGTATAGGGTGGAAATATCAAATGTTCTGATGGAATAAAGATTCTCAGGATGTTCAATATTGATAAAAAGATCTTTTGAATTCATCAAAAGCATATTCCATTCATTACAAGCCTGGAGTATACAGTGGCACTTAGCGACTGTTATCCTGATTATATAATTAAATGGTCCCATGAATGGTAGAAAGAAGTTTGATAATGGTTTTGCCCAGCAACTAGCGGAACCAGTGAGAAAGTTTCTTTTATAAGGATTCTTGTGAAATTTTGGAATCAAATACAAACGAGGCAGATCATCTTCATTATCATGAATGGTTATTCGTAAAATATCTGTAATACACAATAGCGATTAGCTACTATTTCGTTTTTCGAAAAATCGTGGAAATATATCATGAGTTAGGGTTTCCTTGTCATGGTGCACACAAAGATCTAATACAATACCATTTGGGAATAGTCATTTTTATCGGTAATGTTGTCTTCATTAATACTTCATAAATGATTAAAATGCAACACATGCTTCAATGCAGTACATATAAACCGTTTATGTTTAGGGTAAGGTAGATAGACATTAAATACATCTCCAGCACACACACAGGCATACATACATAGGGAGATATTAGCCAGGTGGCATAGGACTAGTAGTTAGCGCCTGATATGGCAGCTCCTGCGAATTCCTCAACATTGTATTGATTAATATATATGCTAATTGTATTGACTGCATAAAATTGTATATCTATGTACTGTAAAGCGCTTTAGAGTGGCTTATGTTAGCTAGATAGGGCGCTATATATATCAAATGTTGTATATTTATTTATTGTTTAAATTTTACGTATTAAGTAAAACGATAATTGTTTACTAATTTTCAATAGGAATGGTATATGTGAACCTAGTCTACATGTACGTACGTTGTTGTATACTTATATACGTCTTCTACAATCTCAGTAGGAGATAAGGCATTTTTATTTGCTTAATAGAACTCAACTTCTCGGCGTGAATGTATCAGCCATTCGATGGTTGTTTGGCATAATGGAGTATATCTTCCATGTATTACGCCTACAAACTATGAAAAACGACATAACAATAGAAATAAGGTCAGAATCGGAATTGTTCCAACTAGTCAGTGGCCAGTCCACTGTGTTCATATTGCTTTTAATGCAGCTTCACAAATAAAGGGT